AGTTTCAGGAAGTTTGTTTTCCTCTTAAAAATATCTAAGAGAAGCTGTCAACTCTGAAGGCACTTTCCAAAAAGGATATGGTTTGAGAAGAGGCAGCATCAGCAGAATTGCTGTGCAAATACCCGGGGTGCCAACTTTGATGAATGAGGTCATTTTTCATTGGAGTTTAAGCTCTGAACTTAAAGCACTAAACAGAAACAACGATAAAGAGTATCATGGCAGCCTTGCTTTTGAGACAGCCTGTAGTTTCTGATTTGTCTGTGTCCTGGACCACAGCCCAGGTATAACCCTTCCCTGTCTCTGTCCTCCAGAGGCCTGGCACTGTGGACTCAGTGCTGTCCAGCAGAGAGGCCTTTGGGAAGCGGCCCAGCAGCGTGCTTGCATTTCCAAGGTGAGTGCTTTGCTCCGCTGGCTCCTCCAGCGGAGGCACCAACTCTCCGTGCTGATCTGTTGATCTGGTTGGGCCGCGTTCCTCAATCTTTTGTTGATCATGCTCCTTTTAGTGCATTGTCTCTGTCTCTGTCTCTCTCTCTCTCTCTCAATTCACCAGCAAAAGAGTTTATTGCTTACGCTTGCTGTAGTTAAGTTAAATAACAATGGGCATACAGAATATTCCTTTTTTAAACTACTCTTGGCTTCCTGTAAATTACAACCTTAGTTCCTGCAATATTAGAAAACTTTTCTTACCTGTTGGGCTTTCCTCTACTCTCCACCATTTCCTCTGCCCCAGCCGCTGCTTCTTTGCGCCGCCCAGCCTACCTCCTGTCTGAGCTCTGATTTTTACCTCTAAATGGATTAAAAGATAAGGTAGTGTAGGGGAACAGCTTCACCCCAAGAGTATAGTGGGTGTTACTGGTGGTTGCTGCTGACAGTGATTATAGTAATGATAATGATGACAATGATAGTGATAACAATCATTGTTATCTGTTACTGTCTATGGAGTACCTACTAGATGCCAGTTCCTGTTAAGCACTTTCTTAATATTATTTAATATTTACTACAGCCATGTGAG